GAGAGAGAGAGAGAGAGAGCTCATTGCTGATTTAAAAAATGCTGGACTGGTTTCGGAGGTTGTATTTCTGTTTCTATGGTAGTCTGCATGTGAGGTGGTACACTGAGATCTTTCAACATTTGATTGTCATAATTTGAACATTTTCTTTAACCTTGCGCACTTAAATTTCTTGATATGATTAAACCCTAATTGGATTCAGCGAGCATGAAACAGCTGGTGATGGATGATAATCTTTTAGCAATGGGCCTTGATAATTGTGTAACGTATTCAAGACTGGTTGCACATGTTATGGCTTGGTGGATAGATGTTGGAAGGCATTTCATTTCAGGACCAAGCTCTTGAAAATAATTTCAAGAGTTAGTTCTTGTGTGCTGAAGAATGATAGAGTTGGTACCAATCTCTTGGAAATTAATTTTGATATCAATATCTGTAGGGGTCTTCCTTGGTATCATGATGTTGCTGAAAAGTTAGTCCGCATTTGTCTAAGAATGACCCTGATGGTGTTAATTATCTATTTGCCTAATGTAATGATCACAGATCACTTAATGATGATAGATTGATCATGCACAGGCTAAATGACCCTTTGTAGTATATAGTAGAAATGCATGTGAATGTGTCTAATGCTTTAGCCATTTTTCTTAGCACAATATTTTGGGGACTTCTTCTCAAACTTTGTTTTGTGTTAGTATATTTTTTGTTTTCCAATTTATTTCCTTCATTTTCTATGTGATCTTCTTCAATTCTTTGTCAACCACCTTCATTTGATTCTTGAATTTCCCCAATATTAATAAGATATATGTTTTCTCAATTGTCATGTATATTGTTGTTTAAAGAAAAATATTATTTATGTTTGTACTCTGTATGTACCCAAGTTTATCATGATTTCATCTTGTTATTCTGTAATGGTGTATGGTATACAGCATGTCACTCTTGGCTCCCTTTATTAAAAGCAGCCAAAAGTAACTACAATAAAGATATTCATGTAACCAGAACTAATTTTTTAAGGTTACTATTTAACTATGGGTGACTGGAAACAACCATAAGAAGCTATGAAAAACTTAACCAAATTGCTTAATTTACAGGATGGACCTCCTAATGAAAGAAGAATCACAAAATTATGTGAGTATGCTGCAAAGAACCCTTTCCGCATCCCAAAGGTATATTAGCAACACTTAACTCCAATGTTTTTGGATAAGGATTCGGTTTTATTTTGTTAACTAACTTATCGATCTCTTTTCTTCTTAGATCGCTAAGTTTCTTGAGCAAAGAAGCCACAAAGAACTGCATTGTGATCACTTCAAATATATCGAAATCATCATGCAAGCATTTAATAAACTACTTAGCATGTGCAAGGAGCAGATGTAAGTGCAAAACGTGTAGATTTTTATCTTCACAAAAAAAGATTTGGAATGGAAATTTTGATGTTTATCTTCAGTATTTATGTTATTTTTCAATTTTGACTGGTATATATTTTGTCTGATTGTTCCTTTTTTTTTTTTGTATAGTTAGCAGACCTATTCATCCCGCGTTTTCGTGAAGCTGCCTTGTATTAACCTACTAATTTTTTTTATAGGCCATATTTTGCTATCTATCTATTGAATGTAATCAGCGATCATTTGGATCAATCACGTCCAGTTACGATTCAGATTCTTGGTTGCCAGACCTTGACAAATTTTATATATAGTCAGGTGACAACATTTTCTTGCCACTTCTTGTGAAACCGAATGATTCTGTATATGCGTTTTTTTAGTGAATATTGTGATTGCATCTCTTTTATTCTTGTTCGTCCTACTTGGGCTCTGCCTGTAATAGTTTCTTAGGCCGTTTATTATTTGGAGTTCTCACAAAATGATGCTTCTTAGTATTAAAAGGAAGGTATGCTACAGTCAAACAACCTTTGGATGACCATCATCTATTTGGATCATGGCCATCCAGAAATATGACGGACAGTGACAGAGAGTGAGGCACATGAGAACAGGCCATTACGCTACCCTTAGGCCCCACCTTCTCCCCACTGCCATATTTTCATAACTGGGTTTTGATCCTATTTGAGAAATGGGCTTTGTATATTCATGAGCCACATAGTTAATTAATCAAAAGGGAGTATTTCATTAACAATTAAAGGCTCAAAACTCATTTAAAATATGGCAAACGACTGGCCTCGCATGCAGATTGGGTGGGCCATGCAGGGGAGTAGCTCGGAAAATAGTTGTGATTTCTAAGCCATGTAAACTAGGAAGAGGAGATAGACACAAGCAAAAATATTTATGCTTCTAAAGACTCTTAACCAAGTCTATATTGAGAAAACTAATAATCACCGAGAAACCACTCACAGCACTAATGAAAATTGAAAATTCATGCGAATTAAGCAAAGCAAACTCCGAAAAAGACTAGTACTCTCTTTGTAATTAACCCTGATTATTTTGACAAATTTACCCCTCAATTCCCAGCACCAGAAGACTCCACTCACATAATTTGAACCTCCACATTAAGTATAATGTTGGGCATAAAACATTTGGAAAACCATTTCAATTTTTTTTAAAATTGGAAAATAGTAAGATATTAAATGAGCTACATGGATCCTGTGGTATTAATCTATTAATCCAAATTATTAATTAAATGATACTTTGTATTATCTATCTAGAATTCCATTTCTTTCTTCAAATTTGTGTTTGATTGTTTTAATTATTGCCATTTGCCTGATTCCACAAAATGCACAAAGCATTCAAATACCCTCAAATTGTTTGCCTCCTGTTCAAAATTTCCTAAGCTTGATATATATATATATATAAATGTATATAACTTTTTAATTTCTCTTTCTTTGAGGAGCTTGTATTCTTCAAAAGTGGAAGCTATGTATTGGTTTACCCTGTTTTGCATCTTATATTAAACTCATGCACTTGTTGTGCATTAAGGACAAGAATCACCCTCTACTCTTACTATTAGAGGTTCCTTTTTTGGTATTTTAGACTATTTTGCATTGGGATTTGCCATATTAGTTAACTGTACAAGAAGTATCTCTGTTTTGTTGCTAGATTTTATATAATGAGTCAGCTTTTCTCCACAAAGTAATGACAATACCATATGTGAACAGGCTGACGGAACCTATACACACAATATTGAGGGGTTGGTGCGTAAAGTCTGTGTGCTTGCTCGTGAATCTGGCGAGGAGAGTGAAAAACGTCGGTTGCGGGCATCAAGCTTGCAATGCCTTTCAGCAATGGTTGTTCAGAATCTATGTGTTTTATAGGATAATTGGACATTATCTTTGTTTTACTCGTTTGAACATTTTCACCTTTTGCTGTGTTTTGACTTTTTTTATCGTGAATTTGTTTGATCAATGATTTCCTATGTTGTCATTCATAAAAAGTCTGTCAATTTCGCTTATGGATATTTTCTGCTTCTTCAGGTCTGGTTTATGGCTGAATTTTCCCACATCTTTACTGATTTTGATGAGGTGAGATTTAATGTGCTTGCTTGGGCATTTTTGTTTCATTTTATACTATTGTTGGTAATTTTCTTGTTGATTTTTGTTTAGTGTTTACTATCTGCTGAAATCATGGTCAGTGACGGAGAGTTAGGAACCCACCTGAACAGGCTGTTACCCCCATGATAGATCCCACTCCCTCCGTGATTTTCTAACATTTTATTGAATAATGATGACCAAGTGGATGTTCATTTACATTGTGGCATGCTTTCGTGTTTTGTATACTCTCTTCGTGATTTCCCCACTGTTGTATAGACACTCACACTGGTTTCATGTCGAGTACGTGTCTAAAGCATCTAGTATGTTGACCAAAAAACCTGGTATGGCTCTGACACATCCGTAAGTTTATTTATATCAGTGAAAATTAAATGAAAATTAAAAATTCCTAAAACTTTCAAAGTAAAAAATTACTTTATGCAAGAAAAGACAAATTTAATATCTTTTAAAATGATGTTTAAATTATTTTATTGTTAACATTTGTACATGTATATTATGTAAGGTTGTGGTTTGTATAGAGCCGAGGCTCTAAACAATCAAATTAGTGCCCACCTTCAAATAGTGTTGAGAAATATAGTTTCCATATTGGAAAGTTTTGTGATAGCCTTAAATTATATTTCATCTTTAGTTAGGAAATTTAAAGCTTAAAAAATAGTGTAGATCGAACAGATTTATGAAAACTTGAAAATTGACGGCCCAAAAATGTGTTACAAGATGCACTATTTTCAAAACTTGAAATCCATTTATTTCTTATTTCCATGCATCTTGATGTTGAGATGATTAATTTGATGATATTTGGGCATCCAAACGACCTTTTCTTGTTAAAGTTTTGATGTAGGCTCTAATTTGATTGTTTAGAGCCCAGACTCTATATAAACATTTCTCATTATGTAAAACCTAACATATATTTTTGAGTATGTATGAGCTCATATTAACAAGACAATAAGTTAACAACAAAGACATTATATATTGAAAATGTATGCATATGATAATAAATTAGTAATATATTAATAAAAATTCATATGCATGTGCATGCGCATGCATTAAAAGGCATACATTAAAAGGTGTTTATCACTTTTGATGTTGCTAGAAATGGTCCTGGATTCAAAACCCAGGAATGATATAATCTTTTAAATGGATAATGATACTTCGTGTCTTCAATTCCAGCACTCTGTGTCACTACAATGTCTCATCCGGCATGTATGGACAATGTGTTGGGCGTGTGTCTGGGCATGTTGATACGTTCGACATGCGACACAGGGGCAAAATTGTAGTGTCCGTGTAACACTGGAGTTTCCATTGTCTTACATTTCTTGAAGATTATTTTGGGTTGATCATAATTGGTTGTTACCTTAGTTGGTATCTTAAGTTATTTTTACTGGCAGATTATATATGTTACGTTGGATAACTATGCCGTGGAGGCACAAAATGAAGTGGTTGATGAAGGAGAGGAATCACATCATAATTGGGTGAATGAAGTTATTAGATGTGAGACAAGGAGTGGTGCATGTGTTGTAAACGATATGAGTCCAAGTTATGACATAGTGAGGCCGCACCCAGAAATAAAGGATCCTTCAATATTGTCAAGGTAATATGCTGTATCTGGATTCATTCATATGGCTTTACTCTTTATTCATTTTATAAACAGCTAATGTAGCCCTATTTGATAATGTTTTAATTTTTTTTCTTTCGATAAACCATTGTGGGAACCTTATGTATTTGAACACTCTTTTGTCAATTTCAGTACAATTTTATCTAAATTGATAATTCTCTTTTATTGTAGTTTTCTTCTGCATCTCCTGATAAAAGAGTTTTAACCCCTAAAATAACTTTTAAGGTTAATTAGTAACTTAACCATTTGGCCCCTGTTAAAGCTGAAGGATGTCAATTATATTTTTTGCCTTTGGAAGAGTTTTCACTGATTTCCATGGTTTTGTTATTTCATATTGATTAAATGTGTAAAAAATTATAATAGATTGCACCAATATATCTGTTTTATCATTCTATTTTTCATTTCGAATCTATTCCTGTTCAATGTGTGATGAGCATGTTTATCTTTATTGATATTTCTTCTTCATCGAGTGCTTCTCTCAGGATTCCTTTCTTTAGTATGTCCATACTCTGAGGTATCGACCATTGTGTGCATCTTGGAATGACTAGTTTTTATATCTAAACCACTAGCCCTTCATCTAACTCAAAGTAGATATCTTTTTGTTTTGTGCCTACAATGCATATGGGGCTGTCAAATTCTAGGCTGACTATTTTATTCTAAGAAAACTTAATTTTCAGGGAAGAGATGGAATCACCCAAGGTCTGGTCGCAAATCTGCATTCAGAGAATGGTACAATTAGCAAAAGAAACGACAACAATGCGACGAGTTTTGGATCCCATGTTTCTCTACTTTGACACAAGGAGACAGTGGACTCCTAGACAAGGCTTGGCTCTATTCATTCTTTCAGATATGTCTTACTTGATGGCAAGTACAGGTTGTTTTTCTCGCTTTCTTCTAATTTGGTCTGATTTTGGTCCTTGCTTACTGACTTTTGTCGTTGGATTCCTGGCACTTTTGTTTTGCATCCTTGTCTGAGGCAAGGTGGACACAACTGCATAATGTGCAGTGCCTTATGGCTACAAATTTGTTATTTGGTTTTTTATACTGGTTTTTCCCTTGTTTTAACTCCACTGAGTTCTCTCTCGGAATAACTTTATCTGTAACTGTCCAGCTTTGAAAATTTTAATGGAATGAACCTCAGTCCGCGAGTCGCTGAGATTGTTGCATTAGATCTATTTCATTATGTTAATCTTCATAAAGGACTATTATGGATCACTATTGGTTTTTGAGGACTATTATGGATCACTATTGGTTTTTGATAACTTTGATTAGCTTGTTATTCAACTCTAAATTTCAAATTTACAATGGACAAACGGAGTATTCTGGTTACCTAATTTTTCACAAATATTGGTTTTATGATTATATTGTGCTGTTTGATATAGAAACCATTAAAAATTATTATTTCCTTCCATTATTGTCCATAAAAGAAATGGAATAATTATGTATGGATTTCTTTGCTCAATGCTTGGCTAATATTCTCTCTAAATATACAGGGAATGACCAATTGATTTTGGCTGCCATTATCCGACATCTGGACCATAAAAACATTGCACATGACCCTCTGATCAAATCGAATATCATTCAGATTTGTACTGCCTTGGTTCGGCTATTGAAGTCACGAGTGATCATTGCTGAACTTAGTGTCGTCAGTGACTTGTGTAGACATTTGAGGAAGAGTCTTCAAGCCTCCACTGATTTAGTTAGTCAACAAGATTCAAACTGGAACATTTCCCTGCAGCATTCAATTGAGGATTGCTTGCTTGAAATCACGAAAAAGGTAAGTATTATGTATAATTATATTAAAAGAGTACAATTTTGATGTTTTATTATGTTTGTTTAATCCAGGAACAACATGGACAATTAATCCCTGATTGTACATCTGATATCAAAAATATTTGTGATAGTATTCTTACATTTTGTTTTGCGTTTATTTTTTTGCCTTAAGCTTTTGATTGTGTATTTTAATGGGATATCTGGTCAGATTGGCGACGCAAGACCCCTGTTTGATATGATGACAATTACATTGGAGAAGCTGCCTACTGCTGGTCTTGCTGCTAGGGCGACAATTGGGGCACTACTAATTCTTGCTCATATTGTTTCTCTTGTGTGCTTTCAGTCATATGTACAACAGGTGCGATAGCCATGATCATCCTTCATTGATTATTGTGTAAATCACAATTTTGCTGTTAGTATTGTGTACTTAATCTTCTATTTGCAATTTTCTTTTTATTTTAAAAGCACTTCATCCATATTAGCATGTTGCATTTTTTGAGTTCACTGTTCTTTTTAGTGTTGAAGTAGGGTATTGTTGTTAGAAGTGCTTGAGTTTTACTTGATGCTTGCTGCAACTATATAAACCATGACATTCAAATGAATCTGGGGCTCAGTCATGTCCAGATTTCTGAATTGTTGAGTTTCAGTCAAATTTCTTTAAAATATTTGAAGAAATTGATCTTTGGTAAGACTCAGCGGACTCCTGAATCATAGCTACAAGCTAATACTCATTGAAATCGGTGAGTCTCCTGATTCTTATTCCTGAGTTTTAAACACTATTTACAAAACAAAGCGTTTTTCTTTCAAATAATCAGGAAATTCTAAAATGCAAATTATAATGTGTTTATAGATTCATCTAGTTTCAATCATGAAATTGCAAATATGGATAAAATTTGTTGAGTTTATGTGCTCATTAATTTTGTTTTTAGTATTGGCACTTAATTTCCTTGTATCTTTTATATAGTGCGTTTGCTTTATGTTATTTTTCTCTTTCATTTTCTTAATATCTTCTATTCATAATAGGTGTTCCCTGAGGCACTCCTCCTCCAACTTTTAAATGCCATGATCCATCCAGATACTGAAACACGTGTAGCTGCCCACCGTGTATTTTCTGTTATTCTTCTCCCAGCCTCAGCCTATTCTTCTTCGCACTCAGATTCTCCCTTTGAAGCTAGAAGGTGGCACTCAAAAGCCACATCTGCTTTCGCCTCTGCGAGTGCACTGCTTGAAAAGCTTAGGAGGGAAAAGGAAAGTATAAATTTCGATAAGCGTGGGAATGATATTATTGAGGATGCCAAGAATAGGGAATCCAGTGATGAAGAGTGGAAGCATGGTTATGTTCGTAAAAGTTCACCCAATTTTTATAGGATAAGTCGTTCCATGATTGATGTGACTGCTAATTCAGGTGGCTCGGTGGACACAGTACGTATCCTTTACATTTGTTCATGGCTCTGTTATTGTGGGGAAAATGTTATTAGCGTGGGGGGCACATATCTATATCATGGAGGTTTCCAAGAAAATTTGAATCTTCTAATTTTGAAGTTTCTGGAACACCTGGATGACTTTTGCAAATGTTCGGGAACGGATTTGATATTTTCCATTTTCGGTTAGTTTTAGCAGTCTATTGATTGTTTAACATTCATTACAGATAGTGATGTATATTTGGTAATTACAAGGTAACATGCTTGTCTCTGATGGCAGTATGTTTCTTCTGCCTATACAGGAATCTAATTTTGTTAGGCTTAGTGAAGATCAAGCTGCTCAATTACTGTGCGGCTTCTGGATACAGGCCAATTTACATGATAATCTACCCCAGAATTATGAAGCTATTGCTCATTCATTCATGTTGACATTGTTGTGTTCTCGGACGAAGGTAAGTTTGTAGGTTTTGTGAATTGAGGTATTCTTTGCTTGTGGAATAAATAAACAGGAATTGTTCTCAGTCAAATGGTAGAATTTGTCACTTTAGTTTGTAAGCTTTTATCTTCACATATGCAAATTCCCTATGCATGCTAGTTCTTTATCTTTCAAAACATGAGAAGAATATTTGGCATGCCATCCCATGATGCAGGAAAATGGTTTTTGAGCTTCCGGTGAAAAAACAATATTGAATTCCACTACTGATTTTTAAGACAGCAGTTGTCAAATCCTCGTTACTTTATGTCATATACAATTTGAGTTGATGGGATTTTTTAGAAACTCTTTCCTACTCTTTTCTGCATAACTGCAATTGGATTGTTAGCCAATGCTAACATGCATTGATTTGGAAATGAACCTGAAACTAAGAATTCATTTTTTGCACTACTGGCTGGTCAGTGCTGGTGCTCAGGACAAGCCACTGCAGGACGTACATGACCTGCTGGACCAGCAAGCACTGGTTGAAATGAACTTTAAGAAAAAAACTTAGTTATTTACTTATGGGAAAAGTTTATATAAGGTTGCAACCTTAAAATGTAGAACTACGGATGCACCTCAAAAATCCATCGGAAAAGGTTGTTTTAATATTGAAAAACCCTCTAATTGATCATCTCGATGTTGAGATGTATGACTATGAAAAAAGAAAGGATTTTGAGTCCCAGAAATGATGCATCTTACAACACATTATCTAGACCGTCCATTTTCAAGATTTTCATATGTTTATAGATCTACTTGATTTTAATCATTTTTGGAGTTTAAAATTTTATAATTCGATATGAAAATGGATTTTGAGATAATCTTAAGAATATTTTTACATCAAAATTATATGCTATGATAAAAGTTGGAGATGTGCCTTAAATGGATTGTTTAAGGCTGCAACCTTATGGAAACCACACCCTTTACTTATTTCACAATGTTTTTAACTGCGAATGTTATTTAGTTCTATCAAAAAATAGGATATAATAGTTAACTTGTTGGACCAACATCAGACGCAGGGCAAGCCACTGCAGGACATACATGACCAGCTGAACCAGCAAGCACTGGTTGAAATGAACTTTCAATTGTTTTTGTTATTTACTTCTTTCACAAAGTTTTAATTGTGGATGTTAGTTAGTTCTGCCAAAACAATTGGATCTAATAGTTAAGTTGTTACTAATTTTAGCTTTCATTTGAAATAAAATTGAGCTAGCTTTTCGTTTGGGAAATATGACAATGTATATTTTCGAAACTCATTTGAAATAAAATTGAGCTTGCTTTTCGTTTGTGAAATCTGACAATGTATATTTATTGTTTCGGAAATATTTTCTATATTTTGTTTACATGTTTGTCACTCTCATTTGCGTCCAATTTTTAAGTTTATTTTTATGTAATTATTTTTTATTGTTATTCATCCGTAATTAATTTGAACTTGTACTGGATAAATGCAAACTGCACCTTTTATAACAGTGGAGTATGTGCTTGTTAGGTGATTTGGTCTAATGTTAAAATGCTTTCATTTATTGCCAAAATTGCAATTTCATTTGTGAATCTCATGTTGCGAGGTATTTATTTCATCAAATGTAACTTTGAGCTGCAGAGTTTGAGTCATGATACCATTCTCCAGTGCTTCCAGCTCGCTTTATCCCTCAGAAGAATCTCTTTGGAGCCAGATGGTATGGGCTTTCGCCTTGTATCCTTTTACATAATTTAGATAAAGTATAATAATAAAAAAAGGAAGATATCATGTGGATTAAATATCAACTGAAGCATTCATAAGGTCATGTGGATTAAATATGGAATAACTCCAAAATTAAAACTCATATAGGACATCCCTGAAAATTGATTTGGCTTGTAAATATATTGTGATTGCTGTTTATGCTTACTTGCATTATCCTATGGAAAACCGTCATGTATTATCTATTAATATTTTATGAAGCTCATTTTAGCCTTATCAATTTGACAGGAAAATTGTCACCATCGCGCAAGAGATCTCTTTACATGTTGGCAGCATCCATGTTTATGTCTGCAGCCAAAATTTATCATATTCCAGAATTAAATGACCTACTTAAGGCTTCTTTAAGCCATTGTAATGTAAGTTCTTTCCTTTTTTTTCTCGTTTCTATAGTTTATGAAGCAACCTTTTTCATGCAGGTTCTTGCACCATATGGTACTGCTGTTATGTCCAATTGTACATGTATGTGCACTTTATGGTGATTGAATATTTAGTTGGATGTCATTTTGGCATCTCCTTTAGTTTTGAGTCTCTAGATCTTTTTTACATGAAAGAAGCATAGAAATTTACAGCTTAATTTTTGGTGAGATAAGCAACCCATGCTGCCTCAATTGTAGAGTTTTGAAGTAGAACTAATTGTTATGATTTTGTTTTCTTTTTATAAGTGAGGAGGTGGAAAGTATACTGACCAGGATTTACATATGACCAAGGTTTGACAGCTGTTGGAAGATATACTGACTGATGAATTTTTCATGGTTAAACCATTGTTACTAATGATCGATGTGGCGGCCAAGTTGCTTTCCCTACCTGCAACGTTTTTGTTGTATTCACTGTTTTTAAATGAGAATATTTGACTCTTTTGCACGTCTTGTTATGCAGTTTTGTTAATTTACCCTTGAATGGGATGTATGCACACTCTCTATGAGATAGGAACCAAGCATCTAAAAATGAGTGAAATGCATTAGATTCTGATTAAATGGGAAGGAAATCATGTTTTTTGTGTGCATGCGCATGTGTGCTTGCACGCGTGTGCATGCATATGTGCCTCTGTGTGCGCACACGCATGCATACATGTGTGTTTCTGTGTGTATGCGTGCGCACCACATGTGCCTGTGTGCCTATTATGTGTGTCTGTGTGTGATTGTCTAATTATGTGTTAGTGATAACCTCCAACATACAGTTTGATGTAGTCGTGTGAATGTCACAGCTGGTCCCATTACAGATATTGTCTACTGTATTGTAAACAATGAATGGCGGATGCCATTTGGAATAGTGTATACCATAGTCCATTGGACTATGCTATGCTTACTGTAGTCAGCATGTTTACATTTACTATTGTTAGAAGTGTAAGTTATCAGTTTATGCTTAGTTGCTGACCTGGTATTCTGTTTCTGTATCAGATAGATCCATTTGTCAATATTTCAGACGACTTGCAGATATGCGTAGCATCTCATGCGGATTTGGGAGAATATGGTTCTGCTTCTGATGAGCATGCTGCATATCGCTCACTCTCTGATTTGCGGGCTACATTGTCTGAATTGGAGAAAACCCTAATTGACATTATTGTTCGGAGCTTCTCGGGTTTAATTGAGGTCAGTTGGTTGATCCTTCTGAGTTTAAGGAAAATGTGCCTAATCCAGTGGACTTGGAAAGCCATAGTCTACTGGCTCATCACCATCCATTTAGTAAAGTCGAAAGTAATGGGGGATCAATCTCACTACCCTTCTCCGTATCATATATTAATATGGTTATTTCATTTATTTGTGTTTATTATATGATATAGCATGAGAGAAGTGAAATTTGTATTTTTCAGATGGACCATGAGAGCATAGCACAAGAGCTGTCCAATGTGTTCACCCCCACTGATTCCTTCCTGTTTGGTCCAGGGTCAGTATTTGACTCGAGCCATAATGATATGAGCAAGCATTCCAAGGAATCCCTTTCCTCTGATGAGGTGTGGCATTTGATAACTGAAGCTGGTCATTACTGATATTTGAGGAGTTTCTTTTTATTTTTTCTTATTTTATTTGATTGTAATGAATTTCTTTTTGTTATAATGCTTAGTGATTCTTGTTTTTGTGTCAAAGGAATCTCTTTTCTTTGATGTGGGAGTGGGCTCCAGGCACCGGTGATCAGGGTGGCGGTTGTCGCCTCTGATGTCTTGAGTTGCATTCCTGCAGGTCCCAAGTTTACATTAAAAAAAAAAGGGGGGGAGGGGGGGAATCTGACATATAATGATATGAGCTAGCTCTCCACTTCTCTAATTCTTTAAGCATTTCGTGAAAGATAGTTTTATGACCTCTAATGCGTTGGTTTATTTCAGTCTTGCCATGAAATCTAATAATTTTTTGTGTCACAATTTTGGTAATTAAAAGAAATTACTTCCTTGGTCAATCACAGTTATCGTACATATGATTGGTTCTTCATTTTATGGAAATTTGTTGTGGTTTATGCTTGATTTCATGAAGAGCTAAGAGTGTAGATAACGGTTCTTACCTTTTGATGCAGGATATACTGGTGTACTCTCAAATTGAGGATGATCTCATCAGTGAAACTTCTGCTGCTGAACTTCCTCGACTCATTCCCAAAGTTCCAGTGATTCCCTCTATTCCCCATATCATCAGTGTGGGGCAGCTGTTGGAGTCGGTATGGCCTCTCTCTCTGTCCTGTTGTCTAAATGCATGGGTATCTGAATGTAGTATGCAGCTTGGTTTTTTTTACGAAGTGTTTGAATATGACCAGGCTCTTGAGGCAGCGGGACATGTGGCGAGCTCATCAGTGTCGACTTCACCATTACCATACAGTGCTATGGCAAGCCAATGTGAGGCTCTTGCCAGGAGAAAGATTTCAACCTGGCTATCTCCCGAGACAAAAACAGACTTGTTCCCATTGATGTTGCCAACTAATTGGCCATTGGATAACAAAGAGGTGAGTTGAATAAGTTGTAGTTATATGCATGTTACTATCGTGTGTGCGTGTGTGAGAGAGATTTTCAATCAATTAGAGGTAGAAAGGGCATGTGACTATATGCATGTTACCATTGAAGTCTTTCTTAATGATTGATGTGTTCTTGCAGGTTAGTGAGGCTGAATTACAAAAGGCATCGTCCGGCCTTTGTAGCGGGCATTGTCAGGTAGAGGGAAGGTTGGCCCCAGAGCCATGGCAGGGCTTGAGGCTTCCACCTGCAAGCCCCTTTGACAACTTCTTGAGGGCAGCAGGTTGCTAAAGATTGTATAGCTTCTTGCTATGCTATTTTATTATGCATGTAAAGTCTATGCTTGGTTTCGAAAGAAAAGAGCACTACTTGTAAAGGCACACGCAAAATTATCATATTAGAGGTTGAATTGAATATTTGATGTTTTTAGCTAATTATGTGTTTGAAACTTTGGATACGATGCTCTCCATCTCCCCGACTGGCTAATAAAGCATGTCAGTTTTGAGGAACACTTCAAATCATCATTAGAAACTACACGGCAGGGAAATTTATCTAAGGTTGAGTTTGTTAAGTGAGAAAACAAGAGGAAATGACTTGTTTTCTTAGGTGCCTTAGTTTTTCGTTGTTTCTAAATGGGGAAAAGGGTGGAGCCTTGCATTTCTTAGCATTTCATTTTTAAAGATAACTGCAGCACACCCCAAGGGATGTGATGCAGACTTCTCAGCAAAATGGACAAGGGATGTGCTGCATACTTCTCTAGGGATGTGCTGCAAGCTTCTCAGCAAAATGGAGAATGCCTTGCAAAAATTTGGATATGATGTTTAAGAGAAAATTTGGCAGCTGCCGGGTGCGTGGTTACTAACATGGCAACGATTGAAGTAGGTATCGGCTGTGAAGGGTAATTAGAATTAGGAATGAATTGAGGAAGAGTTATAAATTGACGGGTAGCAGCACTTTTAGATGCGGTTCGTTCATTCCTTAGGAGTGTTTTAAACTCTGGATTAGTGGGGTGAATCGTTTATCCACAATATGTCTAGTCATTGAATCGGCTATCCACATTGGGTTGGGATCTGTCTGAATTGATGGTTGAAAGTATATTAAAAAATAAATTTTAATATTGGGTGGGGATTTTGAGGAGATTTAAGAAAAAATTAGTGAAGTTTTTTTTGAGAAAAGAAAAAGAAATATATATAAGGATGTGTTTTAGGGGGAACCAGGTCAGGACCCTTACTATCCAGAACCTGTTCGTCCTGATTGCTTTTTGTATAGATTGATATCCAGATCAGCAACTGCGGGTTTTGAAACGCCAATGTATAGGATCAAAGAGATACTAAATAACTAGAAGAACATAATAAAAACCAACATGAGATGGGAATCATCAATTCAAAGTTGGTAATCAGGCTGGTCCCATGGCTATTAACATAGACTGGAAGTCTCAAATACAGTTATAAGAATATTTTACTCTCGCTGGTGTACAATATTTTCATTTGCGGTTCTTTTTGTAATGGACAAATTTTGTATAAGGTGTCCATCTCATGCTAAAAAATCTACCTCTGATGTCAAAAACTCCTTCAATTGATCTTCTCGACTTCAAGATGCATAGAAATGAATAAAAAATTGATTTCAAATCTTTAAAATAATATCTTGTAACATATTATATTATCTAGACTGCCCACTTTTAAGATTTTTAAATATATATCTTTAAGTATATATCAATCTGCTTGATCTACATTATATTTGGAACTTTGAATTTGATAATTAGTAATCAAAATAAATTCTTTGGCCATCGCAAGGGTTTCTGAGTCTCGAACAGCCTTTTTAGGTGGATTGTTAGGTGCACCCTATTTCTATAGAATAAGGTTGACAACTTATACAAACCGTTACCTTTTTTTGTAAAGGGAGAAGTTTATATAGATCCGATGCTCTAAACAATCAAATAGGAGCCTACCACAAAAAATTTCTCTAGAAGAGGTTGTTTTGATGCCCAAATATAATCGGATTGATCATCTCGACATCAAGATGTATGGACATGAGACAAAAATGGATTTCAAGTTTTGGAAATAGTGTATTTTGTAACGTATTTTTGAACCGTCAATTTTAAAGATTTTCAAGTTTTCATAGATATGTCGAACTGCACTATTTTGGAGCTTTAAACTTTATAAATAAAGATAAAATTATATTTTAAAGCTATCACAAAGATTTTCAGTATTGAAACGTCATTCTTTGATACTATTTGAAGGTAGGCTCTAATTTGATTGTCTAGAGCCTAGGCTCTATACAAATCGCACCCGTACGTAAATGCGTTGGAGTTAAAATTTTGAGGAGATGTATGTTGAGCCAAATGAAATTAAAAAAACATGCGCAAAAAGACATGATGAAAATACTCCCTCTAATTTTTTTTTCCCATTTATAAAATCAAAGACAAATGTTATCGTTAGTAATGACAAAATTTAAAAATTTAAAAGTATAGGCCCATGGTAGTAGTCACTAGGGCTCTATTCTCAATAAGTCTCAAAATTAACAAAAAAATCATCCAAATACTTGTAAGAACTTAACTATTTAATATTCTGGGTATATATTTTGATTTAATTTCAAAATGCTCAAGATGATCATACCCTAGAATAGTTGTTAATAGGTACAATACTGAACTTGTCTTTTATAAGTCTTTTGACAAATTTCCATTACTTCAAATGCCGAACCATGTCTAAAAACAACCGAAAGTTTCCATACAAGAGTTAAAGCCAAATAAAGATCTTGCTTTTGAAGAGCCACATTAGCGGTATTTTTTAAAGTAAAATCTAACACACACATGAAAATAAAATCTAACACAAACAAAAACTCAATCTCTTGGTGTGGTTTGTATACAATGTCCTTCTTACACTGTAGAAGTAAGATGTACCTATAAATTCAATAGGGATATGGTTCTACTCTAAAAAACATTATGATAGTTTGAATATTTACTTTTATCTCTAGCTATGAAATTTAAAATTTACAAAAATAGTTCGGATCAAGTTGATCTACAAACACTTAAAAATCTAAAAGTAGACGGCCCAAATAATTTATTACAAGATTTATTTTTAAAAAAACTTGAATTTCGTTTTTCTTCCTATATGTACATCTGAAGGTTGAGAGATCAAAATGGAGGATTTTCTAATTTGAAAACAAGGATTTTTTTTACTTCAATAAAACCTTACATAAACTTTTGCATATTTGCACAATGGCGGCAGGCCCAAATATCGGTCGAGTAATCGGGCCCTAGCGACAGGGCCTATGTCTTACAAAACCCGAACCCACAAACTATTTTCCCTAGTTATTTTCATACTTACATAAATACCCTTTACAAGGAAATGCTTTACATAAGAAAGGGCAAAGTTTTAAATTAAATTCACAAGGAAATGCTTTCTCATTTTTTGTTTTGTTCATTTAATTACGTTTTTTTTCACCTGCACCTGTGGATTAATCCCCCCGGGATTTGGAGCAAGGGCGACTCTGTGTAACTTGAGGCATCATTTCTAGAGAGAGAGAGAGCTCCAGAGAGAGAGAGATGGCGCATTCCTGTGTTGCGACAGCAGGAAGTGGCATTAAGCTGCATCTCAATCACTCGAAGCAGTCGCAAAACCCTGTTAACCTTCCCTTTGTGAAGCTCCCTACTGGGTATGATATCCCACCTTTTCCTTCATTTCAATTTTTGCCCTAGTTTTTGGCAGAGAATTAAGTAGGGAGAACTTATATTTCCGTGATTGCGAGTATGAGCTATGTGCTGTTAGGGTAGTTTGATCTGATGGTTTTGGGTGATGCCTCACAGTTGTAGACTGGAGCTCATACAGAGATATTAATATCTTTTATTGTATTTTTGGGTTCTTATGTCGATATTCTTATTTTCAATAAGTTCTGTATTCAATTTGAGCTTGCACATAGCATTTTGGGATTAACCTTTGTCTTTTCTCTCTGTGTGTGTGTGTGTGTGTGAGAGAGAGAGAGAGAGAGGAGGGAGGAGAGAGAGAGAGAGAGAGAGAGAGAGTAGTGTACGTAACTTAAGTTTAGTTAGTTTCGTTACTACTAACTTACGTTACGTAACTAAGTTTGTTAGTTAGTTGCGTCGTACCTTACCTAAACCTTAAACCTAACTAC